GACTCGGGCGAATATCAAATAATAATTAATTCACTTTTTATGCACAGATTTTACTCAGGTAAAATTTATTTGTCCTTTAACGATCGTTGTCTATGACCACAACAAATTTCGTAATTCTATACGAATTATAAGTTTTTGATTGGAGCCGTTTTTCCGGTCCCCTTTTATATAAATAGTACAAATGACCAAAAATTTTTAGTTGTATTTGAGTATTTGTAATAACTAGTACAAACCTTGCTAGAACCCCGACTTTCCCTAAGACCTTTATGTAAATATCCCGCAAAAGTTGACCAACGGCTGTTCTCAAGATCAAACAATTTTAAACACCGTAGACTGCAGCTGTCTCGTTGCAGTTTGTGTAAGACGAAAGAAAAATATAAATAAAGTATCCCTGAAGCTATATGTAATAACTAGATGCATTTATTTTAAATCATTTTTTTATTTTTTTAATAGCTTTACTATAAAAACACGTTTTGGGGAGATTTTTTCGCGGCAAAATTATAATTTTTTCTAATATCAGATTTGGTTTAACTTTCACAAAAATATTTATTATCAAAAAATAAAAAAATATATGCTTTTCTGAGCGAAATTTGAAAAAAACAAGCGTTAAGGAGTTTTAAATGTATTAAATGTTATCCTATTTACAAGGAATAAAAGTAAATTTTAACTTAAAATTAAAAATTATCGAAAAACCCAGATAATGAGATATTTTTGTGAAAAAACCTATCAACCCAGATTACAATAAAAAAATCCAAATATGAGTAGAAAAACTCAGGCGTAAGAGCCCTTCCCACACCATATCGATGACGGCACGATATTTCAAGACACTGGAAAGGCACTTTCTTTGCTTGGTTCATTTCCCGTTGGATGAAATTAGTCAAACGAAATAAAAACCATCAATAAGTTAAGGGATTGCCTATCACTATAACCTATTCAACTATGCCCAAGAACAACTAATGTCAACTGCTTCCAAGAATATACTGTTTTTTCGCCACTAGATATTCGCCACTAGATGGCGCCACTAGACGGTGCCCCCAACTGTCCAAATGTTAATGCCAGTGCTCATCGCTTAGATGCTCAAGCCTAAGCAGCTCATTATAAACCAACCTGTGTAACTTCAGGGGAAAATTTGAAATGTTTATGGAAGAAGCGATATATTTTTTAAACAATTCATAGGAGAAAGATATTTCCGATGGGATATTGTAGAGAGCTTGAAGATTTGAAAAGTGCGTTTATAAATAAATGGTTTCTGGTTTCAAAACACCGGTGTTACTCATTGCAGTGGGAAAGGCAGGTTCGAAACGACTGCTAGACAAAGCAGAAATTTCTCCACTCCATACCATGTGTGGGGTGTGGGCTGACTTCAACCTCAGAGCGATGCAGGCTTTGGCAGCACGTCTTACGGCGATGCGGGCCTCGGCGGCACCTCTGACAACGTTGCGGCCCACATCTCACTACAGAGTTTGATCATTGCACTCGGATCCAAGTGCAATGGTCGAACTCTGGG